AAATAGAAATAGAAATAATCTTTATTCAAATAAACTCATTACAAACACTTTTGAATAGTCATATTTTGATTCTACCACTCATTCGGAATGCAGATTCATCACAAGAAGAACGAGCAAGAAACTTGTGTGTTGCTCTTTTTAATAGATGTTTTTTTATATAAATAATTACAGTATAACAAGTAAGAGGCATGCGATAATCAACATAGAAATCGCTACGCACTCATTATTAGTGTAATCAGATAATATTGTCAGTGCTATGGATTTAAAGTTTTTCTATAAAAACTATCGTTAAGGAATTCATCAATTTTATAGTAAGAATTGCAAAGAAACTGTTTTATTTGACATTTAAATCTTTTTTCTGGCAGATTTATAACAGACTCTGGTATTTTATTGTAAAACCTTACGCAATATTTAAGTTGTTGTGTTACTGAAATAAAAAATATTTAAAATGTATACTGATTTTAATAGTGACGCCACGGAATGTTCGAGAAGAGTAAAATGTATATAAATTTAAATAAAACAACGTTCCATTCGTGACGTTCCAAATTTGAATTTTATAATTACATTCTTAAATATATTTATATTTGACTATTTGTAACATCGACGTTCCATGCGTGTCGTTACAACTTTGAATTTTATAAGTTTATTTTTAAATATATAAAATGATGATTTGGAACATCGATGTTCCTTGCGTGTCGTTCCAAATTTGAATTTTATAAATTTATTTTTAAATATTTTGTAATATTGAAATAACCGTTTTTTACTACATGCATATGAATGGAAATACGGTACATATACCAAAATAACATTTATTACAATTTTTGTCTGTCTGTTTGTTCCGGCTAATCTCTGAAATGGTTGGACCGATTTTGATGAGACTTTTTTTGGCAGGTAGCTAATGTAATAAGGAGTAGGCTACTTTTATTGTAGAAAAATAAAGTTAAATTACACGCGGGCGAAGTCGCAAGTACAGATAGTCATAAATAAATAGAAACAATCGTACTCATGAATATAAATGTTGAATAAATCGAACCTGCTAGCATCGCAAGTAAAGCAGTATGCTAAACCGCTAAACCACTGGCCTAACCACAAAAAAACCCTAAAACAGTTACTGTTCCATGACGAGACAATAAATTTAGTCAAATGGTCAAAAAAACTCTCGCCTCAAAAATTTGCCATTACGTCTAAAACGCTATGAGGTATCAATAATAGCAAATGCTAGACAACCTATGTATATCATGCAATTCCCATATCCGCTAGTTGGGCCATCAGGGGTGGCGAGAGCGGGGCGTGAGGGGGAAGGAGGAGGGGGGGCAGGCCGGCCGCCGGACGGACAGCATTCCGCAAGTGACTCACTCGGACGCACAACTGTATGTAGCTGGCAGACGAATACAATTGAATTTATTTATTTATTATATACTAGCTGTACACGCGACTTCGTCCGTGTGGAATTTAACATTATTTCTCTAAAATAAAATGCAATTTAGTGTACAATTGAGAAATTGATGGCAAATTTTGGAAGAATACTTTCACACACATTTATGTTTTTATGAACTTGATTACCATAAAATATATAGTTACACAGTTAATCAATATGAATTAATAAAATAAAAAGACGCAGATAAAGGACAATAAATATTGTTAAGACCAAAGTCTTTGCATCAGATTTCAGTTCAAGAAAAACTGCATCATAAGAAAAAGGCACAACGGCATCTAGTAACCGATTTAGAAACTAACAGACTATATAAAAAAAATACTGTTATTTTTAAACTTTCTTTATATACACAACTAGCTTTTTGTCCGCGGCTTCGCTCGCGTTAATTTATCCCCTCAGGGGTGGAATTTATCAAAGTCCTTTCTTAGGGGATGCCTATGTCATAGTAGATTTATGCATGAAGTCTCAAGTTTAAAATTGTAGTTTAACAAACTTTCACAATTTATTGTTCAAAATCCTTTCTTAGCGGATGCCTACGTCATAATCTACCTGCATGACAAATTTCAATATCACTATGTCAGTCACCTTTGAGTTATATATATTTAGACAATATATTTATTGTTTAACTAACAATTTATTGTTAAAAGCCGAAAACGAAGAATCACAATATCCGTACACTTGTTGACTGATACTACTAAACTTATTACAAAAAATTCCATACAGGTTTTATCCGTGTTAAGACCCGGTTGAAAATATACAATTAAAACTAGTTTTCGAAACAGGTGCTCGGGTTTCAGCCAGCTACATACCATAAGGCGACACAGCGCGGCTGCTCGGCCCGTACATCGCATTAAGAGGAGTGTCTTATCGGCAGATCACTGTCAACACAGCATCCGCAGCTTGCAATGTGGGAAGTTATGGCACAGTGCACCGACCGACAGCCGGCCGTGTACCCGGCACGGTCACCTACTTTGTCTCAAGATTACCATATTCAAATCATCTTTACATGTAATGCAACTGTAACTAGGTTTTTGCCTGTTTGTTTGTTCGTGTTGGCTGGAGATATAACTATGGAAGTTTTATGAAGTCAAAATCTATACTCCATCTATACATATAAATAAAATTGGTGTGTCTGTTTGTAGTAGTAAGTAGTTTAAAAGGTCTAAGCGAACATACAACGGAAGTGACTTTATTTTATCATTACATCTTTCTTCTTCTTTCAGCATATATTTGTCCACTGCTGGACGTATGCCTCTTGCATAATTTTCTACTTCAGTCTGTCTGTGTCTTGACTTGTCCAGGTCGGTCCTGCTGTCTTCCTGATATCATCAGACCATCTGGCAGTTGTTCTGCCTATCGTTACATAGTATAATATAAAGTCCGTCCCGGACAGACAGCGACAGCGACTTTATTACTTTTAAATATAGGATCAGATTAAAGAAAGTTTCGACAAATGAACTGCACCAAATGAGAGAAATGATTGCTTTGACCGACATTTTTAGATTTCGATTCAATTTTCAATCATATAAATGTCAGCCATAAATATAAATTGACTTACGATTGTGGCACAGTCCGAATTTGAACTCACGACCTTTCAGTATTAGACGGGGTGGCAACACACTGGGTCATGACGCAATCTTAATCTACACCACAGAACATTATAAAGCTGAAAAGTTTGTTTGTTTGAACGCACTAATCTCAGGAACTACTGGTTCGAATTGAAAAATTCTTTTTATGTTGGATAGTCCATTTATCGAGGAAGACTTTAAGCTATATAACATTACGCTATGACCAATAGGAGCGGAACTGCGATGAAAAATATTGTAAAAGGTGGAGAAAAGAAAGACAGACGTAGTTGCTCGGGTCAACTAGTAATTTATATCTCTGACATAAACGTGAAGTGAGCTGTGATTTAGAATAGGTTATATTTAAATTTTTTTTATTGTCTCATCTCTAGTTGGTAACTCCAATAATAGTACTGATATAACACTTTTTTACTGTTTCTTTATATACCACTAGCTACTCGCCCCGGCTTCGCACGGGTGTACATGTATTATATATATAAACCATCCTCTTGAATCTATAAAAAAACGCCTCAAAATCCGTTGCGTAGCTTTAAAGATTTAAGCATACATAGGGACGGACAGACAGCGACAGCGACTCTGTTTTACACTATGTAATGAAGTGTTTATTATTCTCTAGATGATTATTACAATGACGGCCGTAATATTCCAAATGCGCTTGACTTTTTGTTTTCAGAAGCCACTAATTTTAAAGTTGGTATAAATGGAGTGATTAATTAAAACAAACATACTAAAATTATATTTATATATATAATTATGCGATGGTGATTCACCAATCAAAACATTTGCCTGGCGAAGGTCAAATTATGATCATTATGTCTCCTACATTAAATATTTATAACGTGTTCTCATACATGTCATTTTATTCAAAATACCAACGAGTCTGTTTTATAACATTTTTGAGGCCACAGTATAATAATAATAATAATACGAAACAGTCGCCATTTTGGAGAGTCACTCAGACATGTGCTTTCGGGTTGTTCAGCTCTTGCCAACACTGAGTACTTGCACAGACACAACCAGGTAGACAAATTACTCTATCAAGAGCTAGTAGGACCTGAAGTAGGGCCTCGTGAATGAGAGGTTGCCGTACTAAGTACGAGCCCCAGCCGGTCCTCGAAAGCGACAGCGTCAGGCTCTACTTGGACCGATCCGTCATCACGGATAGGAGCGTTCTTGTGAACAAACCTGATATCGCGGTGATGGATCGGGCACTCTCGAGGGTGTTTTGGTGGACATCACCATACCCCATGACGAGAACCTCGTGAAAGCCGAAACTGAGAAAAAGAGAAAATATCTCGACCTGGCTCACGAGGTGACCGAAATGTGGGGGGTGATGTCCACCGAAATCATTCCAATCGTTATGTCGGTGAACGGTCTTATCCCAACCAGTCTGGAACAACATCTTAGACGGTTGGGATTCCGGGCGGTTCTCTCCCGGGAAAGATGCAGAAAGCGGTGCTGTTAGATTCTGCTCGCATTGTACGCCGGTTTCACTCTGAACCCCGGCCGACTGTGCTTCTGCCGGGGGTATGTTGCCATCTCCTCTCCTTAAGAGGGGTGATGAGAATTTTTGGAAAAAAATATAATAATAATAATACGAAACAGTTGCCATCTTGCAGAGTCACTTAGACATGTGCTTTCGGGTTGTTCAGCTCTTGCCAACACTGAGTACTTGCACAGACACAACTAAGTAGCCAAATTACTCCATCAAGAGCTAGCTCTGACTCGAATGAGAAATTTTATATATCGCATATAAAATTTCATAAAAATCGGTAGCCGTTTTTAATAACATTGTATTTTATATATAAGATATCTAATAATATTTATAAAACAATACATATATTAAACACAGTATGTTGTATCCCATTCTTGAAATAACTTTGGCTTCAGCTTCTTCTCGATAAAAAAAAATCTCAGTCATACGACACTGTCTTTAGCCAATATCTTCAAATGAAGTTCAAGCGAGTTGTAAGACTTACCTGCTGTACACACAGCGAAGAAACTGCAGGCTAGCAGCGCCAGCTCCGGCGACAGGATGCCGCCTCGCCACCTGCAGCAATAAAGCACATGTCTAAAACATACTGTTGTATATCATAACGCATATCTAACACAATTGTGAAATGAACTACCTGCCGAGGTTTTCCCACGAGACTACAGCATGGGGTTTTTCAAGAAGGGTATATTAAGGTTTCTTAAGGGACGGCAACGCGCACGTGACACCCTTGGTGTTTCGGGCGTTCATAGGTTACAGTAACCATTTACCATCAGATGGGCCGTATGCTTGATTGCCACCATCGTAATATAAAAAAAACACAGTAACGTAATTCATAAATTGAAAATTTTGAAATTTGACTTTAATACCACAGGTATAAAGTGGACTTTCCAAAATTGTAATTTTTGAGTTAAGCCAGTATTATAATAAGTGTGCGGTAAGCTCAAGGACGATTTGGGGTTCCGGAATCCGTGGAAGGACTTGTGGAGCAGCTGGAGTAGCCTCCAGCCGCTCCACAAGTCCTTCATCAAGTCAATCAAGCAACTACTACTATAAAAGCGAAAGTAACTCTGTCTGTCTGTCTTTCGTGTTTATAATATTAATATGATCATTACATAGTATAAAACAAAGTCACTTTCGCTGTCTGTCCGTTCCAATATATGCTTAAATCTTTAAAACTACGCAACGGAATTTAAAACGGGTTTTTTAATAGATATAGCGATTCTAGAAGAAGGTTTATATGTATAGTACATGTATACCCGTGCGAAGCCGGGGCGAGTAGCTAGTATTATATACACCTTAAGGACTAACATATATAGAAAATAATGATATGCTTTAAAAACCTATAAATTATAGAATTAGAACAGCCGACAAAAAGGTCTCGAAAGATTGATCACTCACTTGTCCACTCAACATATCTAATCCACATCTGATATCTAAAACCCAGGGCGCATAGGATGACCAACCCTAAAGTAAAAAAACTAGGATTATAAGTTAGAAATATTAGGACCAATACCTACGTAGCATTGGGTTAACCGAACCTAAGTTAAAAAAACTAGGATCTGAAGTTGGACATATCAGGATATATCATTTTAATTTTAAACGCAGTATTAGAATTGTAATAGTTAAATTTATGTTGTGATATATATATAAATAGATGAATAGCATAGAATAGAATAGAATAAGATAGGACAGGACAGGACAGGATAGGACAGGACAAGACAGGACAGGACAAGATAGAATAGAATAGAATAGAATATCATTTATTCAAATAAACTTAATTCTAATAATGAAATAAATTAATAATTAATGAAATTCATTACATGAATATAAATTCAATCAAATGATATTCGAGCAATTAAAATAATCCTATTCATTCATTCATTCATTTCAGATCGGACAGTATGTTATGTTATTAAAACTACATAATATTTTCTTTATATTAAAAACAGCTGTGCCCTCGGTTATACCCTCATGAAATTTATAGCCTATATGTTATTCTAATGTATAGGCTATATTACTGTAAAGTTTAATCAAAATCTGTTCAGTAGTTTTTGCGTGAAAGAGTAACAAACATCCATCCATAGTAAAACCGTTTTAAATTATTTATTAATATAATAGTAATTATTCTTCTTGTGATGAATCTGCATTCCGAATAAGCGGTAGAATAAAAAAACTTGACTATTCAAAAGTGCTTATATGAAGTTTATTTGAATAAAGATTATTTCTATTTCTAAAAAAATATCCAGGACCCTTCTTAAATTCTATTCAGAACGTTCCAGGATATTACTAAAACTAGTCCTGGGAAAACAGGACGGATGGCAACTGTAACGTAGCCTGATATGACAAATCAATCAATACACTTGTAAGTGCTCCTTCAACGGGCACAAGAACATAAATCAACTTGTGATTGACGCCCACCGCCCCAGATGTCTACATCCCTACATATAGTATAAATGTAACGCTGTCTGTACATAGATCTATGAGAAAAAAAGTATATTAGTGGATTTAATAAAAAGTAGTTATTATAATAATAATTATTATTATTATTAATAATATAATCCATTACCCCATCAAATAGAGATATATAATATACTAGCTGTCCCGGCAAACGTTGTTTTGCCATATAAATTAATAACGCTATAAAAAATAGGGGTTGATGATAGAAGAGTGAAAATTTAGGATTGTATGTATTTTTGTATGTTGTACAATAAAAAAATAGAAACTAAAAATTATTTCTAAAAAATAAAAGAAAAATTTACAAACAATCTACTCATGAATACATGTTAATAGGGGGATGAAAAATAGATGTTGGCCGATTCTCAGACCTACTCAATAAATGATAACTAAACATAGAATAAATTAAAAACATGAGAATCGGTCAAATTATTAAATAAAATCAATATTTTGAACGAAAACTGTGACACGAGAATTTTATATATATCTATATATAAAGAAATAAAATTAAAAACTGTTAAATGCGTATATGATCTATTTATTTAATATTTCCGTAATGTTCATCTCTAATAATTAGAGGGTGGATTTTCCTAGGGAATATCTTTTGGGGAGGGGGATGGTTACATTTTTAAAACTTTTTGATTAAATTTTATATAAAAAATATTAAATCTATTATATATATAGTATAATATTTCAGTGACACAGTATAATATGTATAATATAATATAATATATATAAGATGTATAATATAATATATATACCGTTCAATGTGATTTGACATTTCAAACTGGAAAATGACCACTCTAAAGATTACAAAGTAAAGTGTATTTTCCAAGATTTTAAACTATCATTTATTCCAATATATAAAAAACTTCTATTAAAAAACTTCCCTTGTATCAAATGTCGCAGGACACAGAATTAAAATAAATCTAAATGTATATAAAAAAAAGGGAAAAGTGTCAGAACGATCCGCTGTGAAAAAAAAGTAAATTAAATTGTAACGCCATTGGTTTCTAATAACTAAATACAATAAACATTTCATATATATATATAATAAAAAAACTTTTTTTAATCAAAACAAATTGTTTTGTTATCAGTTTGTCTGTTAGTCTGTCTGACTACCACCTCCTTGCATTAACTAGTCATATAACACAAACACATTGGAATATCACTCCTTCTGTATATCAAACGCCAACCTAACCACATGTGATTTAACCAATATTGGTGAGGCTTTTTGGATGACCGGCCGAGGAGTTATATTCGGCAGTTATTTTTTAAAATAAAAAATTTATTTCATTACTTTAGCATTAGCTATCTGCGAGTGAAGGTGCCATCAAAATCATCCACCCATTTCAGTGATTTTACAAACATACAGACAAAAGTAGCCCATTTTTTTTAATTTCCTTTTGATGACCATATTTTCATATGCATTTAGTGAACAGCTTATAATTTAACGTCGAGATTTCAATATATACCTTTATTTGCCATAAAATTATTCGTGTTAAGACCCGGTTAATAATCATTTATTCCAATAGATAAAAAAAGTAAAAAAATTGTACAAAGTCGCAGGACACAGCTAGTCATTGAACAAATCGTTTCAATAAGGGAACCGTGTCAGAACGATCCGCTGTGATTTGACATTCGAGGGTGGATGACCGGCCGAGGAGCGGCAGTCATTTTTCAATCGTGTCGTTTGAACGACCCAAATAGGATAATACGCGATGTCTTTGTGCCGACAAAGCTTCCGTGTGAAAGTAACATCGGCATACGTTACACTGCAATCATAACTGCCTATTTATATCATCACTAGCTCTTACCCGCGGCTTCGCTGTGTGTGTATTCGCCGGCACTTTTTATACATATATATCTAAATATATATAACTCAAAGGTGCCTATTTGAGCCTAAATAAATTAGTGCTGGTTGGTAGTTTGTATTCACACGTTTCGTTTTTTTTTTATAACACAGGGGACAAACGAGCATGCGGCTCACCTGATGGTAAGTGATTACCGCCGCCCATGAGCACCCGCTACACCAGGGGAATTGCAAGTACGTTGTCGGCCTTTTAAAAAGGAATAAGCTCTTTTCTTGAAGGTTTCAATATCGTATCGGTTCGGAAATACCATTGCTGGAAGGTGATTCCACAATGTGGTTGTGCGAGGCAAAACTAAGACTTACAAGGATTGTTTTAAAGAGCAACACATAAGTTTCTTGCTTATTCTTCTTGTGATAAGACAGTTTTCCAAATAAGTGGTAGATTTAAAAAAAAATTGTTGACTATTCAAAAGTGCTTAAATTATGTATATTTGAATAAATGATTTTCTATTCTATTTTATTCTATTCTATACATAGTATAAAACAAAGTCGCTGTCGCTGTCTGTCCCTATGTATTCATAAATCTTTAAAACTACGCAACGGATTTTGATACGGTCTTTTTTAATAGATAGAGTGATTCAAGAGGAAGGTTTATATGTATAATACATGTACACCCGTGCGTAGCCGGGGTGGGTAGCTAGACTATTACTGTAGAAGAGCAATGTCACACTTTAACCCGTTTTATTAATATGCAGTATAGTAAATTCTTTGTTACTATAACAAATTAAGTCTTAATTGATAAACAATCGGAGCTGGGTCATTGGAATATACGCAAAAGTAATTTAACAATAACATAACCGACTAATGGTCGGCCGTTAACTTCACACAACCGGTTCCAGCTGAATAAACATGTATGTTATTAATTCACGAATACATTCTAAACAATGGTAGAGAGATAATTTAGGACAAATTGATTACTGTCGCCCGATAAAAGTTGGGTAAACAGTGTGGCGAGTACAATGTTCATTGTATTGTGCTAATAGCTGTGCCCGCGGATTCACTCACGTGAAATTCATAGCCTTCATTTATAGCCCCGGGGTCGATCCTCGCACGGCACAAATTTTTGTATTTTTTTTTTATCTCAGGACAATTCACACAGCGCCATCTAGACCCACGTTAAGTTACCTAAAGCTTGTGTTATGGGTACTAGATAACTGATACAAATACATAGATATATTAAATTATACATGGACAATTAACACACTCATGAATACAAATGTTTGTCTAG